TTTTATGCCAGAGGTTGATGCTGAAATTGTACAGTACTTGCTTCTTCTCATGTATTTGCCTGCCTATTTATGTGATTCATCATTACTATATATCTCATTTCTATTTTCCCCTCCTTTTCATGTTTTGTTGAAAATATCACATTTTTTTTCCCCAATAACTTCTATCCTGCTTTTTCCTGTGCTCCTATACTTATGGTTTAATCAACCCTTATATCTGTCACGTACCCCACCCAACACACACACTTGGGAAGCTTAGTGAGCAGTATCCTCACTTCATCACAGATATATGACTCAAGCCAGACTTCTACCTCCTCGGTTCAGAGAGTTCAGAGCAAGTCCCTGAGCAGTAGGAACATCACTGGAGGAAGCGGCTCTCTATACTCTATATAGATGCCTCAGTTCCTGTGTTCATGGTTTCCAAATTATTTTCTTGATTTTGATTACTGGATGTTGAGATTATTGCTCATTGTGTTGCAGTGACTTCTCCCCCAGTTAAAAGAAACCTCTGTTTTTGGCCCCTAAATTGTCTGCTCATTCCTTCTACTGTATTCTCCTGGATTTGATTTGAAGAAGACACTGTATCTTTGTCTTGTACAAACAAATGTTCTTCTCCATTTGCCTTCCATTCTGACTTAGCCAAACACTGACTCACACATTAAAGAGCTGACTCACATACTGTACACACTCATGTCGATGCTCAGTGTTATGTCTGTGAAGATAATGTAGGGGAAGGACTGATAGATTTTTTTTTTTTAATTCTCTAACATGTCTTTCTGTTGCACAAATGAAGTAATTTTTTCAATATCCCCCAGCCTGCACCCATAACAATAAAGGTAACTGTCAACATTACTCAGTTAAACCTGCTTTTGTGAGTATTGGATTGTCTTTGTTCATGTTGAGCCTTGTTAGGAGAAAAGAATCGTGTCATTTTGCATTTTCCTGCCTGATATAACTATTAGTCATGGGAGGCCTTCTTGTTTTGTTACTCAGACATGAAATAATAAAAACTTTGTGAAATACTGTGAGTGCCTCCCATTTCTAATACATGAGAAGTCCTTATAATTTGTGGACTAGAGCCCATTTGAAGCTGCACTGAGATCTACATTTGCCTGAAATGCAATAACAGCTCCAGGTTTTTGCATCAGTTTATGTAGCTGATGATGCTTTGTGATCTTGTGTTGTAGCTCGCAAACAAGAAATTATCAAAGTTACCGAGCAGCTGATTGAGTCTATCAACAATGGAGACTTTGAGGCCTATGCGTAAGTTTGTTCTCTCTGTGTTTGTACCGTAACATGTTACTGGATATACTGTAATAATTTGTTTGCTTCCTTAACTAATTGTGTTCTCTTTTTTTGTGTAACAGGAAGATCTGTGATCCTGGACTGACTTCCTTTGAGCCCGAGGCCTTGGGCAACCTGGTGGAAGGACATGACTTCCATCGCTTTTACTTTGAGAATGGTGAGAGCAAAAACATGAATTTGGCAAAAAAACCAAAAAAAAAAACAAACAGCATCAGGACATTTACAGACAGCCTGAAACAGTTACATTTTACAGAATACATGAATCCAAAAGCTACTAAAAGTCCAACATAATCATTGAGGCGAGAGTGAGATTGAATCATCTGCTTACCTATGCCACTGTTTTCCAGAGCAGGTGAAATTTGTAGAAGCTGCAAGATGAGTCTCATTAAAGTGCAAGCAGCCAGCTGCCTCTGCATCCAGACTAGACAGAAAACACTGGATTATGGGTTGTGTAGTTTTCATTCACACCCATTTTTAAGTATTTCCTGCTGCTCTAAAGCTTTGAAATGGAGTGATTTATTATAAACTTGCTTATTTACTAAAGAATGAGTTTTGTGTTCCAAACCAATGAACAGGAAACTTGTTTGGGAAGAAGTTGTGCATTCAGTTTACATTGCAGCTATGGAAGCAAAAATACACACTATATATAATTTCTAGCTCTAGTTGTAGACTTTCTAGAGTTTATAAGATGGTCACTGAAAAACACAGCTAAATGAGGTAGACTTGCAGGAGCCAACAGGCAAACTAAACTCACTCATTTCTTTCAGTGAGGTTTTGTCCCACAATCAACTTTGTTGGTTTTTTTTTGACAAAATAACCCCTCCCCCCTTTTTTAACTGAGAATGCAAGTTTGTATCCTGTATTTCAAAGTCCTTATTCTCTCACTGAATTCTTGCCTCATACTCAAGTATTGTGTCCCGCTTTCTCTGTAACTTGCATCAGTGTTTTGTTTTTGGAGTGGAGAATTAAACATTTCACTGACCCAAGATAGCATTCTTGATTATTGTTTTTGTTGTTTCCCTTGATCCAATCAGCGACTGCCTTGGAGGCACGTTTCAAGTGTCATTAGCTAATGGGAAGCAGGTGTTTGGGGAACTCACTGAGGCAGCTTAATGGGGAGGTGTGGTAGAGCTAGACCCAGTATAAACACATGACGTATAGAAACAAAATACCCAAGATTCTGCACAGATCTCTGTCATTGCTTCAAGCTATTTGATAGGGTAAAGCAGTGGTCCCCAACCTTTTTATCACTGCGGACCGGTCAACGCTTGACAATTTTACTGCGGCCCGGGCGGGGGGGGAGTATATAAATGTGAATTCAATGTGTACTTGTATGCAACTTTATTAGCAGCTTCCTCGTAACATTGCGCCAACAACATAACATGAGTATAACATCAAAGTCTCAGTTTTCAGTGCTGTGGTGGCGATCTCAGGGTATTCTGTCATGACTTTAATCCAGAACACCG